TCTCCTACCAGCCATGGCTGCAGTGACAGGAAAAGAAACATTGACCTATAAAAACGGGCTTTTGGAGAGTTGAAATATGATTGCAGAAATAAAAATTCAGCACAAGATTTGAAAGATAAAGTTGGAGGAGGATCGTTGTGAGTTCAAGACCAGCCTGGGCTACAAAGTGAGCTCGAGGCCACCCTGAACTGCCAAGTGAGATCCTGTCTCAAAAAACAAAAAACAAAAAACAAAAAAAAAAAGAATTTTTAAAAATCAGAAAACTTGCTGGAGATCTAATATATAACTAGTAGAGATTCCAGGGAGAGAAAACAAATTATAGCAATAAAAATTAGCTTAAAAACTTTCATAGAGTTGAAAGACACAGTCTCCAAATAAGAGTTTACACTGAATGCTTAGCAAGCTATGAAAGGAATGCCTCCGGGCGTGGTGACAACTCCTGTAATCCCAGCACTCCAGAGGCTGAGGCAGGAGGATCATTGCGAGTTCGAGACCAGCCTTGGCTACAAAGTGAGCGCAAGGCCAGCCTCAACTGCATAGTGAGACCCTGTCTCAAAAAGACAAAAAAAAAAGAATGCCACCAAGCTAGTGTGCAAGAATAACCAAAAGAAGATCCTAAAGTCTTTTGGAAGAATGAAACAAGTCTCAGCCAAAGGAACATGAATCACAATAGCATTGCCTGAAAGAAGCTGTAGGACAGAGTCTTCGCATTTGTAAAGGTCCAGCTAAGTTTGGATCAAATATGAAGGCCGATGATTTTCAAATGTATAAAGTCTAAAATTTTTGCCTCCTGTGCACCTCTAAAAGGAAGAAGATCCCATGGATGCAAGGGTTCAACGTAAGAAAATCAAGGTAACATAGCACATTAGTAGAACAAAGCAGATGTGGGGAATAATTGATCATCTCAGTTGGCATATAAAAAGGCATCTGACAACGTCAAACATCTTTTCATGATAAAGATACTCAGAAAGCTAGTATTAAAAGAGAACTTCTAAGCCAGGCATAGTGGCCCACACCTGTAGTCCCAGCACTTGGGAGGCCGAGACAGGATGATCGCCACAAGTTCAAGGCCAGCCTGGCTTGCATAGTGAATTCAAGGCCAGTCTGAAGTACATAGGATACATAGGAAGATCCTGTCTTAAAAAAAAAAAAAGCAAACTTCCTCCACCTGACAAAGAACATCTACAAAAAGCCCACAGCTAGCATTGTAATGATGATGAACACTCCCCAAATTCAGGAACAAGACAAGGATGCTTCCCTTCACCACTGCTGTTCAGTCTTGTAGTGGAAGTAATTAGATAAGAAAAAGAAATAAAAGGCATCCAAACCGGGAAGGAGGGCCAGGCATGGTGGGGCATGCCTGTAATCCTAGCACTCGGGAGGCTGAGGCAGGAGGATCATTGAGTTCAAGACCAGCCTGGGCTGCATAGCAAGACCCTGTCTCAAAAAAAAAAAAAAAAAAAAAAAAAAATTGGAGAGGAAGAAGTAAAATTATATTCACAGATGTCATGATCTTATATCTAAAAATTATACAAGAATGCTGCTAGACCTAATAAACTTGCAATATGCAAGATCAACATAGAAAAATCAATTGTGTTTGTATATACCTGCCATAATAAATCCAAAAAGGAAATTGGGTTGGTTAGTCAGCTCCCCATTACTGTAACAATTATTCCACAATAAAGACAAGAGGAACTTTTGGGGCGGGGGCTTGTTTTTTGAGACAGGGCCTGGATAAGTTGCACAGACTGGCTTTGAACTTGTCATCTTCCTGCCTCAGCCTCCTAAGTGCTGAGTTACGTGCATGTGCCACCATGCTCAGCTAAGGGAAAAAATATTTTTAAAAAGCAGATGGCAATAATGGTAATACCCATCATGGATGGGTACTTAACGCCGCTGAAAAGTGCTTGAAATGTCCAGTTTTATGTTAGACATATTTACCACAATAAAACAATTTGTTAAAAATGAAGACATAAAAAATCTGGGTAAGATGGCACATGCATATAATTCCAACAGTCTAAGAGGCTGAGGCAGGAGCATTGCAAGTTTCAGTCCAGCCTGAGCAGTTTAAGAGACTTAGCAAGACCCTGCCTTAAAATTAAAAAAATAAAAATAAAAATGGGTTGAGGATATAGCTTAGTGTGTAGGCCCTGGATTCAATGCATGCGGGCGCGCGGGCGCGCGCACACACACACACACACACACACACACACAGAAGAGAAAGATAGAGGATCCAGAAGGATAGAGACAAGGGGAATTTCCAAAGTGAAGGACAAAGAAGGGCCAGGCTGACAGCCAGGTGGCAACAGGAGGATGAACAGGTCCTGAAAGATTGGGTGAGACCCAAAGAAACCAAAACTGATACATTAATGTATTAGGGGGAGTTATATATAATAACATATAATTATCAGCTACATGTAATAATATATAATCATCTCTAAAATGTTGAATATACAGTCATATACCATACAATGACTTTCAATTGATGGGCTGCACATGGGGTGGTTGGTCCCATAAAATTTAAACCTCCTAGTGACACTGAAGACATCTTAGTGTGTAAGTACATTCGATGATGAAATCCCCTAGTGGTACATTCTTCAGAGCACGTCTCCATTGTTCATGCATAACTATGTATGCCCTATATTCATGTGTAATTTCTTAAGCCATCCAACAAAGCAATTATAAATTAATGTCAGGAACAGCAGAAGTGGGTTTGGATGGGCAAGATCTAAATATGCATTCTCCACAGTCAGAAGAAAGCCCTTTACCTGGGCATGGTGATGCACACCTGGAATCCCAGCACTTGGGAGGCTGAGGCTGGAGGATCAGAGGATTCCCTGCTAGCCTGGGCTACATACTGAGTTCATAGCCTGGGCTACATACTGAACTGCATAGTAAGACCTTGTCTCAAAAAACCAAAA